CGGGCATGAATACGGAGTAAACTGAGATTTGTACCCTTCAACCAGAGCCATCACTACTTAAATAGATGCGCGTGCACAGTATGGCTATATGAATAGAGTTGTAAAAAGACAGCTGATGTCTAGATAGTTCATCTTGTCAGTTTTTTGTTTTTGCAAAAGTGGAAAATAGTTTAAACAATTCTTCTTGCTGTTTACTACATTCATGCAAATCACTGATTCAGACTTACAAACTGCATAACATAACAAAGTGCTAGTATTAGAAATGCGTCATGGTATCCAAGTGCTCGGTGACTCATGCGAACGAAGGTCTTAGAACCACGTATATTAGGTATACATTATGGACTCTTGTGCTCCGGATGGGGTCACCAACTTATCGTGGTGAGGCAGTTTGGTAGGGCCACCCATGCCGAAAAGGTCTAAAAGTAGAGTGACCCCCTGGTCCTCTAGGTTGGGGGTTGGGTGTTTGGCTAACGAACCCGCCCCATAAAAAACACTAAGTTGTTACAGAAACCAGAAGTGTTGATTATGAGACAACACTAACTGGGAGTGTTGCTGCTGGGGCTGTAATGATGCTCTTGGGACAAAGCCGAAGGGGAGCCCAAAGGCCGATAGACCTCTAGCCCCCAAACAACAGATGACTATTGGTTGCTGACCACGGTCAAGGTAACATAGGCAGGGCAGCTAGAGGAATAGAAAGGATAACAAGATACGCCTATTTAAGGCTTCAGTTCGACCGGTCCTGCTACACGGATGTTAAACTTGGAAGATCACTAAGACTGATGAACGGAAGCTAAATGGTTTCCAGTGCCAGTGCTATAGATGGATACTTCGGATTAGATGGCAGCAGAGAATGACAAACAAAATAGTCGCCTGTTCACAGACCCTCTATTCTCTCTTCAAAGTCCGTCGAGCACGCGTGATAAAAAATAAAAACTGCGTGGAATTTATTGACCGCCAGCGCAAGGGGATCAGTGCTCGCCGATGTTTTCGAAAAGAACGAAAAGAAAAATAAAACAAAGTGTGTGTACAGGCTAAAAAAAATAGTGGTTGAGATAGCAATGACTAAAGATAAGAAGGTGGAACTGGACAGAACACATACCAAAGGGAGAGGATGTGAACGACTGTTTTACTGCATTAGAGTGGACCCCAGAAGGTCGGAGGGTGAGAGGAAGACCAAGGACTGTTGAGGAGGAGCGAACAAAGGCGAGGTGGAAGGGCTGGGAAGTAGCCAAAGCGGTAGCACGGGATAGAAAGTGTTGATCAGAACACGTGATGGTCTTATGCGCCTACTGGCACGACGAGACTTTATGATGATGATGACGATTCTGGACTCTTTTGTAATTTAGGAGGGCTTATAACCGGGAGGGGGAGCTTATATCCGAGGGGGCTAAAAAGCGCTTCGAAACAACTTATAGCGGTGCTGATTAAAAAACGTTTTGCATTTACTGGTTTTTAATTAAGTTTCAAAACGGAGGTAAACAGGTCAATGGAGTTGTACTCACCCAAAAGCTTTTACACAAGGGCGCATGATAAATAGGCGGTTTCCCCAAGGGAAGATAAACAGAAAGCAAAAACAAATACAGTTAGATGGGATGTTTGTTCCCCTTAGGCTAAATTCGATCCCTCCCCTTACTCAGTTCAGTTAGACTAATTTTACCAGGTATAATTAACAATTAATGAATGAGGCTGAGTATCTTGTGAAGAATTATGGAGATCGAGGAGGATGTTATCCGTCGAGGCCGGATAACATCCTCCGAGATCTCCACAATTCTTCATATGATACGAAAGCCGAATGCAATAGTTGTTTTATTATTCATTCAAAATAATTCCTAGTTTAAAAACATAGCTAAAACAAGCTTACCTGCATCGATGTTAAGTTTATCTTCGATAGTTTACGTTTAGGTTTGTCCAGCTCCGCAAATATTCTCCAAATAGCAGATGTCGCCCTCCGAGTTGTCTTCTTACTGTTTTTGCTATGTTTTTAGCCATTATTTCGCCTAGTTCCGGCTGTAGTTCTTACTCTTGAAACCAGTGAAGTGTCCACCAACTCAATCTCGTCCCCAGGTCTTCTAGGTTAACGGTGCATTAACCTGTAGAAGGCTGCATTTTTGACGTCATTTCCTCGTTAAACACAAAATTCTTCCAAATTTGGTCATCAGTAAATGGTTATGGTGAATTATTCGTGTGCTTTTAGCCAATCAGAATTGGGGAAATATTTTGAATGAATAATAACTGATAATTAACGAACGAGGCTGAGTGTCTTACGAAGAATTATGGAGATCGAGGAGGTTGTTATCCGTCGAGGCCGGATAACACCCTCCGAGATCTCCACAATTCTTCATATGATACGAAAGCCGAATTCAATAATTGTTTTATTATTCATTCAAAATAATTCCTAGTTTAAAAACATAGCTTAAACATGCTTACCTCCATCGATGTTAAGTTCATCTTGGATAGTGCACGTTTAGGGTTATTCAGCTCCGCTATTATTCTCCAAATAGCGAATGTCGCTCTTCGAGTTGTCTCCTTGCTGTTCTTGCCATGTTTTTAACTATTATTTCGCCTAGTTCTTACTCTTGAAACAAGTGAAATGTCCGCCGTCTTCACGACCAAAACAACTCAACCTTATCCCCAGGTCTTCTCGGTTAACGTATTTAAATTGCCCGTCGGAGGAAATCTCTATTCCTTATAAGCTCGGCTTCTCGGAGATTTATCCAACACAGTCACCCCTTCTAAGTTGTATGCTCATTTTAAATTTAATATTAATTAACTTAATTAATTGTCTTTTTTATTCTATTTGGAATTTATTCTGTTTGGCAAAATAATAAAATAAATGAATAAATAAAATAAACGGTGCATTAACCTGCAAGAAGGCTGCACTTTTGACGTCATCGGTTCATTAAACGCAAATTCTTCAAAATTTGGTCATCAGTAGCAGGTTATGGTGAATTATGCGTGTGCTTTTGGTCCATCAGAATCGGGGAAATATTTTGAATAAATAATAAACATGATTAAATCCGTCGGTACTCTAAATTGGACAAAACACCTAGGAAATACTTATGAGTTTTGAACAAGCTTTAATACACTCCTGGCGGTTTAACAACCACTTATGGGCGTATGAAAGGTGAAGTTTTTACAACAAAAAATCTAAACATGAAAACATTTATAAATAACTTAAAATATCAAAATATATATCACGATAGTTATTAATAGAGTGATTTTACTTGAATCGTGAAACAGATAACAACTAGTGCAAAGTAGCTACAAATAAACAAAAAAAGACAATAGAATTAGTGCATAATAGCGCGTAGTATTCTACAAATGTACTACCTATTTCACGGGTTAAGTAAAATCACTCTAAAAGGTACACTTAATTACAATCATGGAGAACTCATCACATAACATAGATCTAAGGTTTTAAGCCCATTACGCTTGACCAGAACCCCATTATGGGTTTCTGGCTTGACTTAGCTCGGTTCTTTTCAGACGCTGATTTGATTTACAAAAGCTTTTTATAAAATGTTATGTGCATTAAGGTAAGGAGGAATCAGGTTTACCTGGTCGATGTAAGAACCTGTGAACTTTACTGTTTCATTCGCACCTTTTGTTTTCCTAGGTTCTAATAATTGTGTTGACTTCTTTGCTTTCTGTTGAATTACATCAGCTGTGAGTTTTACAGTCTCTTACATCGAGGATGTGCTCAGGAATCTTAGAGGAAAAAATTAACCTCACTGAAATCAACAGAGAGGAGAAGTAGTTACGTCACGTTGCCATGGTAGCAAAATTTCTTGATAACAACAAACAGAAAAACGTCTTCTAAAACTGTTTCAGACTTCATCGATCTTGGTTACTTTCAATTAATTTGTCAAATGTTGGCTAAATTTTCTGGGGTTAAATCCGAAAGGACCGTATTTAAGTTCAGAAAAAATAATAAAAAAAATATGTTGTGTTCACCTAGTTTATAAAGTGAACGCGTGAAATTGGGAAGTTTCACGTCGTAGTCGCGCTACGTCGGCTAAGAAATGTACAAAAAAGCGTGATGCACGTGCAAAGTTCTTGCTTTGCTACCTAAACCTATTGCTTTTTTGCCGTTCTCGTTGCCGTGGCCGTCGTCGTTGCTTAAGCTCCGTATTGTTTTGATCCAAAAATTGTGCTACCATGGTAACATGACGTCACACTTCTCTCCCTTCTGCAATACCTTTTGTAAATCCAACCACAACATACACTTACAAAGCAATGGGTTAACCAGATTTAGCTTCTTTCCGGTAAGTTTATCCTCATGTATGATTTGTCCAAAAAATGCAACAATTCAAAGAGGTCGCTTTCGAGATAACTTTTTTCTTTGTTTCGTAGCCTAATTGTCAGACATTCCAAGGTCGTGCGCTAGGTGTACGAGCGAGCGAAGAATCACCGGCTACGTGTTTCTGGCGGAAATGACGGCAGCCAATATCATCGACTTCTCGAAATACTAAAAGATACGTTACTAAGCAACTAAACACTCACGAATAAAACCAGTTCGTACTCGTCCACACCCGCTGTCTTGGATATTTATTTGGATGAGAATCGGGTGAAAATTCTAAGTGCTTCATCTAACTGGGAAGAAATCATGGGACGAACATATAACTACTTCGGTGTAACTATCAAGAGCAAAATTTACTATTTGATCTCTTCTAGCAAAAAATAAACACATCAACATAGAGTAACCAATATATTAACTGACAAATGTTCCACAAATATATATATTAGTAAATCTTACCATAATACTAAAACAGTAAACGACTTCTTTAGACAATCTTCTTATACTAAAATTTCCTTCAAGTATTAAGCACACAAAGTTTGAGTTTGGCCGGCACTTAAATACAGGAACTACTTAGTTAGCTGGAGGAAAAAGTTGTTCTAATTGTCCCAAAAATCATATCCTGTGAACGATTCAAGTTCTTTCTTTTAATTCATAGGACATCAGCTGGATTCGCAAACAACTCCTCAGAATAAGGGTGGGGTTAGTTCCGTAGCAAGATAAACAGCAGGAATGTCAAGAAAAATAAACTCTCTGTCTGTTGATCAATGCCTTCATCCACCTGAAACGAAAAATAAAAGGAGAGATGAAAAAGTACACAAGTCCCAATTATTTACAAATAATTATTAATTTATTACTAGTAATATTATTTACCAATTATTTTAGCATTGTTCATTAATAAAAGACTGTCACAACAAACAAGAGTTTCGGCTTCGATGGATTTTAGCTGAGAAGGGCCTATACAGATATATTGTACTGCGTGAAAAAAAAAAGTTGACCAGATCAGACGGCAAGCAATGGACGGACCATTTGAAAAGTGATTTTAAGGGGGGAGGGGGTGCTGGTGGTGGGGAAAAACAAAATAAAACTGCAAGAGAAAATGTCCCCCCCCCCCAAAAAAAAGCCAAGTTAAACCCACATGGGGGGGGGGGTACCCTCAGCCTGAACTAAAGAAGAGAAGACAAATTTAGAAACCGATTAAAATCTCTTAAAACAAAAAAGTATATTAAGATATGTCACTTTGTAGCTTATAAACAGAGCTGAGTCCTTGAAGCAGATAATAAAAAATTATGAGATTTTTTTTTGGAATAGATCTACATCAGACGTCTTTGAAGCCGTTCCCTAGCAATTTGCACTGCTTTTCAAGTCTGATTCTCATTAAAAAAAAGGCGTGTGTTTCATGCATTAAACAATCTTTAACAGACTCTGAGAAGATGGACAAACATGCTTTATGGATCACGCAACGCCCGCTGGGTTACTGGGTTTCGACCGAGAAATCTACCCATTTTATAAACTGGGCGTGCCTTGAAGCCTTTTGCCCTATACGTGTTGTTTGACTCGTCTTTATCCTCCGCCTGACTCAGTAGCTACCACAGTTCACAGGAGCAAACACGAATGACAGACTGACATATAAGAGTAAAAATAGCTACTCGAAAAGCCTTACTTGTCTCTCAGTATGGCTTTGACTGTGACCGTTCCCTGTTGACCATGCACTTCGCGTTCCACTGCAAAAAACAAATCGCTAGTTATTTCAAGAAAATCAGTGGGATACCGTATTTACCTTACCCCTTACGGGATTTTTGTCACTACTTTTAGACTAGGAGCTTATCAGAAGTACTGAGGCTCACCTAATTTTTTCTTTTTTATGAGGCTACTAATATCCAGTTAACATTGACAAAATAAATAAAAAGTTTAGCAATCTCAAACAATGGTGTCTGAATTAGAGGCTGGGGGCAAGGAGGAACGGCGCAATTTCAGTGTCACTTCGAGATCTATGATAGCCGGTGGCAAAAGAAAAATATGCTCCTGCAAACTTATTTTGCGAAATATATCCTAAGCACTATGCAAAAGTTCTACCAAAGAGGTTTTATTTGAATGGTAACATCAAAGGAATTTGAGTGACAATGTGTTTAAAGCAGTACAACAAGGTCAACGTCCTAGAATCTCTCAGTAAAGTTCTTTGCGCGGGTTGATGATGGTAAAAAAAAATATTGAAAATCTTAAAGCTCATCAGTATTTTATCGTTGATTGTTGTAGCCTATTGAACTTTAACGGTAACACTTGCGTAATTATCCAATTGAAATAAGTTGATCACGATGGAAACGGGTTAGCCTGCGTAGCAAGCGTTTCCGTTTGGTTTCAGAACAAAGGAAGACTGAGGAACGGGATCTACGGTTTTGAGTGCGCGAAAAATTGACTCTCGTTCCTCGTTCTTTGCTCCAAAACTGCACGGAAACGCTAATGCCTACGTAGGCTAGAAACGGGTGAAAGATGATTATGGTGATGATGATAAACAATCAACTTACTATACGACTAGACGAGGTTCAAGTGTTTCTTCAGTACACTGATGCACGGGTTTTCCGTTCTCTGTACATTGCGATGCTTCCTACATAAAATTAAATTTTAAATAAATCATATATATATGTGAAATATCAAACTCTTATAGGGACATGAACTGATTTATTTTATTTAGTATTGTTTAATAAATGAGTAGGAACTCAGTTGTTTCTAAATTAAAAGACTAGAGCCAATTGAGATGAACTTAACATTTTACTGATTTAAGAAAGTAATAAAAAACATACTGTTAAATACAAAACCGTAAACGAGATCGTTGTATTGAAAATAAGCTACTTAGCTAGAGTTCTCAAGTAGTCATTTAAAGTTCTCAAAACATCATTAGACATCTACTTTTTATCCAAAATTACCTAGGCCTGCTTTTGATGGCCAAAAACTTGCTTTCGGTGACCGAGGTACAAAGTTTCCCCTATCCCTGACGCTACTACTGATTCCATGAGCCGTTTAGTTGGCTATCAATTTTCTAATTGTTTTAAAACGTCTCATTCTATTTTGTCCCGAATGCCATTATATGAAATTGCTTACGTTTTCCTTTCATTGCTGAATACTTACTTCGACCGGAAACAGCTTTTGGGGGTAGTTTTCAGATTCCGCTGATGTATCATCTGGTTGTAATCTTTGACACAAAAAATAAATCAAAGCTTTGTAAGAGAAAAGAAGAAAATAACTATTAACGATTAACTGCAACAACGACGTATGAAAGCCACGCCAAGGGCAAAGGTTACACCCTATTGCGGGAGGGGCGCACTCCCCTATTTGGCCTAAACGGGTATGTACCGCTGAACGGGGCATGGTTGTCAAGGTCTTGACTCTTAAACATGGTATACAATTTCACTATTTAGCTTCCTGAACACAGTGTCTTTTTGGGCCGAAAGCCTTTTTGTTTGTCAACAAATCTAATTCCATGATAGTAGTTTAAAAAAATGATTAGTTCTGTATGTGAAACGAAATGAGATAAGGTCACGGCTGAAAGGCCTCGCTGGAACACCTCGACCAGACTCCAATGATTGCCCCCCCAGCGGTAAGCACGACTGAGGAGGTGAATTCCAAACGCGCGAACCAAAAACAGTGGTTACATCATATTACCGTGTGGTACATGGCGACAATAACCTACCCAGGATCCACTGGTTCCTCTTCTCGATCAGCAGAGTACGCTTTTGGGTCACTATCCTGAGGAAACACGCACATAGGTCTGAGTTACCCAGTATAGTTTCTTCTATGATGATAGTAAGAGAGGTAGCATAATTCAAAGGAAAACTGTTGGCAGGCAAACCTTGATAGTTTACCACCACGAATCCAGAGTGTAGGGGTTTTTCGAGTACTACCACTAACTACTCTGTCTCAGACTCAAAATAGTACTCATTCACGCCGGGTTAACGAATAAAAGGTTGGCACAACCAATATAGTGATCTGCCAAGTTCTTTTTCTCCCTTTGGAGTGAAATCATCCGTTGACAATCAGGGGGAAATGTTCCGACAGAGTCGTGGAGCGCTGGCTAGAAGCTCGTCGTCACCCACGCGCGAAATCTGTTGACGACGCAAAAGTAACATACAGAATAGGCGTTTTCTTTTCCCGCGTTTTTCAGGCTTGCACGAAGTGCAGCGCGAGACACGCGTGACGGGGAAAGGTGTGGAAAGAACCCTACTTTTTCCGTGTATTCCCCGGCAAAATCACGCCTGTAATGCCGGTTAACACGAAAGAACTTCAAGTGGAATGTTAGATGTATGTTCCGGACCAACTGCACGTGTCTACGTACGTATATTCGACAAAATTAGAAAAATCAGATTCTTCCGCTAGAAAAAGAAAAGTATGGTGTCTTGCCAAAGCTTTAAACAAAAAGTACCAAAATTCGAGGACAGAGCCTCAAGGATACTCGCACAGATGTAAAAATATGAGGAATGAACAGTGCCTTCAAGAAATAACAGGCAAGATTTACATAAATCATAAGTACGTTCCCTACCGTTTGAAGGTGTCCTGGATCCATGAGCTAGTGTTAAAGGGTGAGCTGTAATATATGGAGAAAGGGAATTTGTATTAAAAGAATTGTCGGTAAGGTGATGTAGTGCTGTGAATTGACCACACCTATCTACGACTGTAAGTAAAAAAGGCCATAAGATACACTTGTATTTGTGTTAAGGATTTACAGGCGACGTAACCAATGAGAGCAGAAGCCTTTCGTCACAGAGAAACGTATCTGTCCAAGTGGTGCCAGACGTTTGGGACATATGACACGTGGTATGCAAGGTTGGGGTCTGTCTAGTGTAATGGGGTTCAACTTTTTCTACAGCTGAAGCTAGCCAGTTTTACTGGCAACCGTTTAAGGAGACTTCGGTATTACCTACGGTTTCCTTCATCCCTAAGGAAATCCTTTAGATCACCTATAAATTCAACCTGCTATTAAATACTGACACTCCGACTCGTTAATAAGGACACTTTTTTTTCCTATCAGAACTTTGTCAAAAAACAAAGTTTCTTGACTTTTTCACGGCCATGAAATGCATCTATTAGCCCCTTCGGCCTTTCTAAAGACCGAAATGACAGATGTCCCTACCATTTCATGTAGTTCAACTAGTAGAATCCCTACCCTTTCATATACCTGAAGCCCTAAAAAAAGGTGCACTTTCGGGCGGAGCCTTCCCGTATAGGCCATTATAAAGACTCACCCCTCAGCCCCAGGGAAACAGAGTTGCATGTTCAATCAAACAGTCCTCATGTGTGGTTAATTCTGGTTTGTATTTTCCCACAAATTGAATAAATATGTGATACTCAATATGTAATTTTCAAACCTCTCTACTCCTTTTTGGTGCATGTACGTGCCGTTTGAGTAAAAGGGTGGCTGTCAAGTATAAGCCTAGTTACGTACGAGACGTATTAATGGTAATTGGCCATTCAAAGTGGTGATAATAAAAGTTGATTGTTCAAATCGTGTCACAATAGATCTACCAAGTTTTAAAACCTGAGTTTGTTACTGTATTTTCCTACAGCGTTGCTTTTAATAATAGTTAAGATCGGATCACATTTCACCTATAAATAATATGAAAGTATTTGGCCCTTGAACAGATTTTTGAAATTCTTTACTCGTTGTTGCTATTTTTATATATATCGAAAGCCTACTTTGGCTCTGCTTTTAAAATTTCCTTCAAACATCTCAGCGACTTATAAAATACTCAGTGACTTCCGGTTTCTCTTTTCTCAGGCAGAGAAGTACCCTGTATGGTGAACTGTCATTGGATTCACAATTCAGTAGATTAAAGACCAAAGCAATGCCCATACCCTGACAGACAATACGAAAGGAGCTGCATTAAACATCATCGGGCTTCTGCATGCCACAAACAATATTGTCTCACCGAAATTTATGTTAACTCCCGGGCTTTGGAGGGACGTATACCCGAAGTTTCTTGAGATGGTGTATAACTCAGGCAAAATTTAGTAGGGAGCTACGATGATGGCAACGACAACGGCCAAAAACGCAATAAGCTTAGATTAGCAAAACAACAACTTTGCACGTGCATCACACTTTTTCGTTCATTTCTTTGCCGTCCTCCGACGTGATATGACCAAAGTTTTAGTCGACTTGAGAAAGGGAACGACAAGGCGATAAATTTAAGCATCTAAGCACGGTCCCCGCTCGTCAGTTCCAAAAAAAAACTATTTTGAACCTAATTTCCCTACTTTCAGGTAACAGGTTTACTTGGTATAAGGCGGAAAACGTTTGGAAGGTGCAAAGTCGATTTCTCAGCGACGTTCCCATTGGCGTCGCCCTTATCGGATCATGAGGTCTCTATAAATATCAAGGTTTGCCCTACTTGTAACGCCTACCGCGTGACACATCCACTTCGTAAGATTTAAAGAATTGACTTGCTATGTTTTAGGATAACCTGATAAGTGACGAGTCCCCGTAGTACTCAATTTAGACGTTTTCGCTGGCAAAACTGAAAAAGCTAATAAAACTAAAACTGTCAACTGTTCCAGAAAGTTCACGCCGGGATTTCTCCATCAGATTTAGACCTAGATTATGGGTCTGAACCAAACATAGTACTCGCAAAACGAGACATATTAATGTTACGGGTTAGTAACATCAACATAACAATCGCTCATTTCCATATAAATAATAATTCAGGAAATCAGCTAACAATAACGTGCTTTTCGTACTAGTTGTATGCTCTAGAGGATTAGTTAGAGCAGCTGAGGTCAGGTCTCTTTTTCTTCGGTGAGGGATACAGTTACAGGTTATTTATGTAGAATCCATTTGCAGCTCAACTTAAAAAAATAATTTCGTTGTTCGAATCTAGACAACGCAGCCTTGGCCACTACATAACTATAGCATCTAAACTCGGACATTATGTGGAAGAACTTAGAAAAAACGTTGAATTTTAGAATTCGACATTTAGTTACCCTGAGGTGCTACCAGAAATTTATTTAAAGAAGACAAATTATCTTTCTTAATTATATATCACTGCTAAGTTTAACATGCTTTGAAAAGGGCAGATTTACATAAACGCTGTGACTATTTTTAGCCACAGCGATAAATAAAAGCGACAGAAGTACTCGATTACACGCTCAGCTTCAACTTGCAGATTTGTAACGCTCTTTAGACGTTGATATATATTTATAGGGTATTTCCTACATGTAGTAATTAAGGTAACACAACGTGTTTCACAACAGTCAAAACAAAGAATTACCTCTATAAATAGCTTCTGATTTCTAACTTATGTTTTGATACACCCCTATTTCAAAAATTTAAAATTTAAGTTCCACTCAGACTGCACTAAACTTTTTGGGTGTGCCAAAGTTTCTGCTTGCGTATTAAACTGCCATGTTGAGTTCCAAAGGAGTCAATAGTCTGTGTGCGTTGCGTGAAAAACTTTTGCGAACCACAAATTCTGCCTCAATTGTAAGGAAATATGTGTTACCGCAGTCAACGAGAAAATTACACGATTTTTTGATCTTTAAATGCCGAGGGATCAGAAAATTACATATTCTGGCTGGCATTTCCATAGGAGCTTTAGTATAAACACTTGTCTTGGTGAGAGTCTTGCTATTAAAGCAGACCTGACTTTATAGTCAAATGTCTACTTCCCAATACTCGCATGTGTCGCCGAATTTACATTGATGTATTACCATAAACATACTGATCATACATTACCTTATAGGCGATCACTGAGACACAGTTGTAGCTAAAACGTTTGTGTCGAAAACACTCTAAATAGTTGGAGGTAATATAATTATAGACATGCACTCCTATCGATGGACGAAAAGTACTGACAGATACTCACAGTTTTCATATTTGAGTATTCTACCGGTCACGTGACTGTTTCAAACAAGGAAGAGCTTTCCTGTGCATCAAAATATTGGCTTCACTCTATAACCCAGGGGAAAAAATACGGTGAAGGAGGTTTGAAGTCACTATGAACTTTGTGTTCATTTTAATATCCACTTGAGTTTATCTTTACCAATGTATAAATCAATATCTCACAGCACTTTTTAAAATACATCATATCTGATAGTTTTTTTAGAGCTGAAGTTTCTTCCCCTCTGATGTTATAGCAGTACTAACTTGTATGTTTTCAGTTTTTCTGCGGTAAGTACCTCACGTGAGTAATAATGAATGGCAACAGAAGCTCGCGAAATGTCACGCTGCATAAAGTCTATACAAGCTTTCCAAACAAACACTTTGGTACACCACAAAAACATTCTTTGTAATGGTAAATTGGACTTCGTGTGATACAATTCAGAGCAATTCAGGGAGTAATCGGGTGAGTAATGAAATTAATCACCTGATTACCCTTCAATCAGTGTACGACACGAAGTCCTGTTACTAATTAATTTTGTCAAAGACAAACAATAAAATGCGAGAATCTCAGTATTGGAATAACGGTACACAGTTCTTACATCGTCCAAAGCGAAACCATCTATCAGAGACTTTTTCAGCAACTGTCTCGCTTTCTTTACTTTCAAGACTTTCTAAAAGTGTTTAACAGGTTGTCAAAGTGTGAACAAAAAATATCTGAATACGAGTCATTGGACCAGTTTATTTCGTCCATTTTTCTTTTCAAATTGAAGTTCGACAGCCTACTCACTTTTTAAATTTATTTTGATTGGTTATCATGGGCTATGTAGTTAAATCTCATTGGCTAGTAACATTTGCTACTTGATTTTTGTTGAAACGCATTGGTATGTTTTGGTCTCTTACAAAAAAAAGATCAGTGAAAACGAGGGTGAAGTTTGGTGGATAATTATTTCAAACATAATTATTGTCACGCTTGTCACACAAGGTTTGCCGTCTCCTTTATTCTTCCGTCCTATTGCGTACGTTCACTAATTTTAAAGGGGCTGTGTCACGGCAGTCCAGTTCATTTTGTTTAATTTTGCTAATTACTCGCCCTCAATCGCTACGGAACTTAAAGTGAGCAAAGAAATTACAGGTAAATGACAAAATCAGAGATCCGAGACAAACAAATATGTCTCCTGAGCATTATTTCTGAAGTTGCAAGCAGAAGGGATCAACTTTGAAAAACTGTTAGGCTGAACAGTTTTCAAAAACCCTAATTTCAATCCGTTTCAATCTTCTTCAGTTTTGCCCATCCGTGGCATCTGTTGTTTCTGTTATGTTATTTTAACCTTCCTTTAAAGTCTTAAGCGGTTATTTTCATGTTTCTCTTCATTTAACGGACATTTTGTAATTTCCTAATTTGGCTGAATTTCGTTACACAGCACCTTTAAGAGGACCACACTCACGACCTAAAAACCCTGTCCTCTTTTTACTTTCATGCAAAGCGGACAGTAGGCTCCAGGGTCCCGTGGAGAATATCCCCGACGGTTATTCAGGTTGATTTAAAAACAGAACAAAACAAAACAAAAACAAACAAACAAACATTCGCAGTTAGATCCCTGTTAGGGCAGACTGGGAAAATTTTATTCCCGTGCATGAATAATTTTTCTTCCAAGCCTTGTATGTCATTATAAAAACTAAGGCTATTTCTT